GCAGGTTATTGCAGATAAAAAGTCAAGTCAAAGTCAAAGTCAACTTTATTTTCAATTTCAAAATATGCCAGACATACAGTGGAATCGAAAGCAGTGTTACTTCATGCTCTTCGTGTTAAAATTGGAGTCAGGATGCAATAGTTTGTCTAAATTCAGTGATTCAATATTTACATTAAAAATGTTTATGGATCATTTGAATGCACAAGACGTTCTCATAGTCCACTGCACAGCTTCTACATTACACCTTTTGTGTTTTTTATATTTAATATTTTACATTTTTAAATTCTATTTTATATATTGTAATATCTTCTTATTCTGTATTATTTAAGTTGTTTCTAGTTCTGCTTTATTTCCTTGTTAATTGTTTAGCACCAATACACCAAGTCAAATTCCTTGTATGTGTAAATGTACTTGGCAATAAACCCAGATTCTGATTCTGATTCTGATTCTGATTCTGATTCTGATTCTGACATATCTTGTGAGTGGAAAACGACATGTTCTTTGCCACCTGTAATTGAAACAGTTTAAGTTCATTGGATCTGGGGAGAGAGGAGTTTGTGGAGTTAATTGGGTTTAGTTGAGACTAGCAGAGAGTGAAGCCACACGTTCGACCTCTCTCTGTTTCTCTCTTGTTTATCATTTGGATAATTCTGTATCTGTTTTTGTTTATTTTTTTGTCAAAGTAAACACTTAAACTTTTATCTAATGGTCCTGTGGATGTTTTGGATGTGGATTACAGAAGAGGGGATTTTTTGTAGCATCAATCTATACGGCTTCATTCAGTGGAAACCTACAGTAACAAACTAGTTATAAGTGGACTAACTCAGAGGTGCCTTTAAAACAGATAAACTAATCCAAAGTGTACTAATAATACCAATAAAACATTTGAAACAACAGAAAGGTACAATAAGGTGGATTTTCATTATTGCAACTGTTTTAATTTCTGCAGGAAATGTAAGGCCAAGACAGCAGACCAGAACCCAGTCCAGGACCAGTTTCACCAGCAGTCAGCTGGAGAGGTCAGAAGAACTGTCATCTGTTAAGAAACAACTTTTCTCTTTTTTATCACGCTTAAAAAACACTCAACTTTGTTTTATTTTTTTCCAAAAAAAAAAACCCATGCAGATCCCTCAACAGCAAAGTGGTACAGACAGGAGGACAAATAACAAGCGGAAGAGCGAGTACATGGAGAGGCTCAACTCAATCTATGATGCCTACTGAGCTGTCTTTCAAATGAAAGACAAACAAGTGACACATGTAATTCATTTTTACAGTTTTAAACCAGGTGCTTACAAGTTTTATATATATAAATATAGATTTAAAGTTGATGTGCAATAGGCCTACGTGAATTAATAAAAAGTAGCCTATGTTAACATTAAAAAAAGAAAACATTTTGCCGCCTATGTGATGACGATTGTGACGTCAAGTCGGCAAAACGAGCACCTCCTTCTTTTCCGAGTTTCCGAGTTGTTGTTCCGACTTGAGCAGGTGTTCATGTGCATTTTACAACTCGGGTATCGTTTTTCCGATGTGCCTGACACCCTGAATGCACCAACTGCCAAACGTGCCGTTCGATGACGTTACCACTGTTATCAGCCAATAGGAGCAGCCTCACCAAAAACAAACCGGAAGCTGCAAACTAGTAAACACGACCGAAAGGAGAAGGAACGTGCAGCTCCTGAAATAACTGAATTACAACAGGGCTATCTCAAAGTGCAGTTATCCCCAAACTTTTAAACACATTTCCATAAACTGTCACCCAATTTCTCAACACCTCAGAGACAAAAAAAAGAGTGAACTACTTTGTGAAAACTCTACAAATGTCTTACAAAGTGAAACAAAGCTAAAAACCATGTCCCCTCTTCTCTAAACTGATTCATTTAACCAAAACAATACACACTGATGTGAACAATTCAAAACACTACCATCAAAAGTGTTCATGTATGTTTTGGATGAGAAGCAAAAGAAAAAAAAAAACCTTCATGTGCAAGCACCTAGTAAGAGAGAGTACCCTGCTGATGAATGTAGACACAGAGGGGTTTTCAAGTGGGCACTCTCCTTCCTCAGTGTTTTTGTTGTTGAGCTGACGACGTCTCAGGAGGGCTCAACAGCGCCCTCTGGTGTCCCAGAAAACATCCCCTATATGTCAACCTGGACTGCTACTTTGGGTCCCAGCAGAGGTCTTGCATCTTCATCCATAGCCATTGGCTGTTTCTCTCTGCAGCTTTGGTCGCTTCCTGCAGTTTCTGGCCTCCTAGGTCTCTAAGCAGCTTCAAACCTAAGGCAAGGTGAGTTTATTTATGTCACACATTTCAACAACAAGGTAATTCAAAGTGATTCACACAAGACATCAAAAAGCATCATGACAGAGGAAAGAAAAGAAACATTAAAATAGAACATTTAAAAAATCACTGAATTATTAAATCTGAAAATATGTTCAAATAAAAATAATTCAAATGAAATTAATTGAAATTAAAAAAAGTAAAAATATAAAAAGAGTTAAAAGTTACAGAGCAGAGTTAAAGTTTAAAATCTTATTAAAGCTGTTTAATGAAAGGCTGTAAACAGGTGAGTCTTCAACCTGGATTTAAAAGAGCTGAGAGTTTCAGCAGACCTGCAGTTTTCTGGGAGTTTGTTCCAGATATAAGGAGCATAGAAACTGAACGCTGCTTCTCCATGTTTGGTTCTGACTCTGGGGACAGAGAGCAGACCTGTCCCAGACCACCTGAGCGGTCTGGATGGTTCAGAATAATCAGGAGGTCACTGATGCTCAGGTGTCTTCTTCTGCAAAACTGATTCTCGAGTGCTACTTGAGTGACATCAATGGAGTTGTACTTTGAGTTTAGCAGATTGAATTCATGTTTGTGATACATGAGCTTCATCTTTTCAGGTTGGTGTGTATAGTTAATTTGTTTTGTGTATAAAAAAGTTAAATGTATTTGATAATAGGTTTTTCTTGTGTTTCTTTTTGTTGGCTATCCTTGCTCTTTGCTGCTGTAACACTGAACATTTCTCCGATATGAGTAAAGGATTATCTTATCTTATTGAAAGCTTTTGAAAGTCTTTTTTTCATGTTACATTGACTTACTCTAGAATTTTAAATAATTCCTCCAGTGGTTAAAACTGGGTTTTGTTGTAAAATATCTACATTTATGAGAAAAACAACTTTCCTATTAAAATCATATTATTGAGAACAAAGTCTTAAGTTTCCAATTGTCAACAAAAATACCAGACTTCAATTTTTTCACTTTCAAAGGCGGCTGCTGAACCTGAATCTGAATCTGCTGAAAATTTGAGTCAGGTCAGCTCGACGTGTTTTCATGACAATTTGTGTCAGATGTTTTTGTTTTGATGACAAAATGATTTTAACCCCCCCCCCCCTCAAATTTTGGTGTAAAAATGTTGAGCAACGACCTGACTCAAATTTTCAGCAGATTCAGGTTCAGCAGCCGCCTTTGAAAGTGAAAAAATTGAAGTACAGTATTTTTTTGAAAATTGGAAACTTAAGACCTTGTTCTCAATAATATTATTTTTATAGTAATAGAATTTTTTTATCAAGAAAATGTTGAAACCCCCGACCCCCGACCCCCTTGCTCCCTATCCCTCTTCCTGCATCTTATCCCATCTCTCCCCCTTTCCCTTTCCAAGCCCGGCGCAGTCTAGCCTGTGAAGGCTGTTTCATCATGAGCTGGAGATCCGGTCTGAAGATTTCTGCCTTTTAATAAGAAGTTTTTTCTTACCACTGTAACTTTTGCTGCTTTGCTAAAGTGCTCATGATGGATAGACCGGATCTTTGTAACATAACAATGAGTAAGTCTTTTACCTGCTTTTTGTAAAGTGTCTCAAGATAACACTTGTTATGAGTTGAAGCTATACAAATAAAAATTGATTGATTGAATTGACCCCCGACCTGACTCACATTTTGATGAAAAAATGATGATCCATGTGCCTGACTCGATTTTGTTTTAGCAATAAAACATGTTGAGATCTCTTTAGAGAGAGAGAGAGAGAGAGAGAGAGAGGGGGGGGGGCATTTGTAAATGTTAGGTCACAGAAGTGTTTCCTTTAAAAAAAACATAATTTCTTTCACTCATTAAAACACTAAATAATTCTAGAAGCTGTCTGCTCCTCTTGGTAAATGCACCAGGTCATTTAACAAAGCTATGATTTCACTTTTTTAATCTCATAAACTTTGAGAACTTTTCACATTCTCACACTATTGAAAGACGTTAGCCATGACCTCTGTGGTTCACAGCTGACGTGACACATCATTTCCTTCAAAACAACAACCCACTTCCTCTTCGCCCACTCTTTCACAGAAATATTTATTGGTGATGAACTGTCAGTCTGTCTTTTTCTCTGGCTTATGGTCATCATGTTTCATCCAAACCAAGCAGCTCTGCTCTCCTTATTATTTATGCACGGGGTCTTTGCAGGTAGAGTACAACTTTTGTGTTTTTTGCAATGCATGCTTTTCTCAAGGCTAAGTTTTGTATCTGTTGCATATGTATTAATTGTTTTTTCATTCTTTGATTTAAGCGGATCAAAAAGTCGTCCACACGGATGAAGAGGTGTCCAGGGGAGGCTCTGTCATTTTTATTTGCAACACATCAAGAGAAAATACAAAACAAATCAACTGGAGCAAAGGCAGATTTCGTTTTTTCATTCAATGAAAGGAAATGTGACTGTTTCAAATTTAACCTCTGACAGACTGACAATAGATCTATCCTCAAAGCTGATTATTTCTAATGCTCAGGAAGATGATGAAGGACTATATACATGTCATTTAACTGAATCTTCAGGGTCAACGACTTATCGGTGGAATTTAACCGTGTCTGACAGACCTGAAGGTAAGTAGAGCTCAAAGCTGGTCTCCTCACTTAAATAAAAGTCATAATGAATGTGTAAGCTCTGATGACCTGCAACATAAAGTCATTCACATCTGATTTTACACAGAGGAGAAGTCATTGTGGTATTTCCCATACATACTCATAGCTGGGATTGGAGTGGTACTGTGTTGCATCATTTCAGCCACATGCCACATCCTTCTATGTGGCATCCCTCCAGCTGTTTATCTCTGCATGTAAGTTATAACTTGACTGTGTGACAATTTCTGCCAAATAAACAAGCTTTAGTTCATCTTGGCTCACAGTGACCATCTCACACCTGCACCATGTGTTGCTATAGTCTGAGCTCGTTGCAATTTTTTAGACATTTCTGTTTCATTTTGCTGCTTTTATATATATATATATATATATATATATATATATACACGTCATGCAATTAATACAACAGGATATTTGAATGTGTCAACTTGAGGGTTCTTAAGTTGATGTTTTTCGGGGTATTTGCTAAAATCTCATTTTCTCTAAAGGGCTATCAATCCATCAAAATAAATAAATAAAAAAGCAGATTAATCAATGATAAATATAATTTACCCTATACCCATTCTGTTTTACATAATAGCCTAGATGTTTCTTTTCTTTCTTTAAGTACATTTGGCAGATAATCTCCCTTTTACATTTGATCAAGAAGAGTTCAAAATGTGTCACATTGTTACATTTATGAGTTAGTTCAGTAAAGATTCTAAGACTTTCCTAACAATGTATTGGAGACAGTTGAAATGTGCCATGGAGTAATATTATTGGTTATAAATCCCTACAGGGAAAGCAAGAGCTGGGCCTCAAACCAGGACTTAACCTGCAGCAGAACCCTGATCTATGCCGTGGTTCAAGTCCCGTTTGGAGGAGGAGAGGTCAGAAGAACTTTACTCAAACTAGTGTGCTCTAAAATCTCTCAAACATTTTGTCCTGTGAGTTTATTTCCACATTTTTCCGCTGCAGGTGCCTCTGAATCTGCCCCAAAGCTGTGTGGAATACAAGATGATGAACACTTGAAGGGACTCGACTTCAATATTTTTCATTGAGTTCAGATTAAAACTGAGTAACCAGACAGCTGCTCGAATGGAATAATGACGGAACACATCTCTATGACATATATATATTTATATATATATATATATATATATATATATATATACAATTTATATATAAAAAAACAAAACATTTCAGCAGGAAAATTGATGCCCTCAGTTTTCACCTCTTAAAGGGAACACATTTGCAACCCTACTTCTTTGAAATCAGAACATTTTTTTGGCATGCCTTTGCCTTTTATTAGAGGGCCCTGTAGCAGGAATGTAATTTCTAAATCCCGTCATATCATCTTATTATCTAATTCAATTTTCTTTTTACATTGCTGTACTCTATTTTTTCAGAATTATGAACTCTTCTTAAATGTTTTGTTCTATTTTATTGTGGTTCTTGTGGCTAACCCTTTTGCACCAATACACCAAGACAAATTCCTTGTATGTGTAAATGTACTTGGAAATAAAAAACAATTCTGATTCTGATTCTATTACCCTTTAAATTTGATTAAAAGAACTTTGGATCGACTTGTTTTTTAAATGTATGTATTGGTATGACAATAATAATAATAATAATAGCTAGGCAAATTGGTTTTGAAACCCAAATATTTATTAAGTTTAAAAATTAAATGCTGTTTTTATTATAATTATTATTTATTACTAATAATTAATTATTTTGGAGCAAAAAGTTGTATTTCATGATGAAACACCAAGTCAGCAGACATTATGGAGCAATGGAAACTTGGCTTTCAAGGAGAAAAAAAAGAAAAGATAGTTGCTATTGCACACCTGACCACAAGAGGGACTGCGTTAAAGGTGAAATAATTCATGGAACATGGATAGTGGAAATTCCAATCCCCCCTAAAAGCAGCAGGATCCCTTTTTGTCACGTGCTCTACTTGTACTGGTATACTGGTATTTTAACTTCTAAATAAATGAGGAAACACTAAAGACACACAGAGAAGAATGTAACAATACACACTAGAACAAAGAGAAACACAAGCATAATATAAGAAATGACATAATGAAACAGAACAATAAATCTAAACTCTGAAATACACAAAATACAAAACTAATCAACTCCACATCATGAACACTTGCAAACATTGTTAATGTTGTTACACCGACTATTTTGTCATTATTAAAAACCAGTTACTGTATAGACATTTGAAAAAAAAATGTGTGTTGTCCCAAATACCGTATTGGTCCGATTATAAGACGACCCTGATTATAAGACGACCCCCGTTTTTCAACACTCATTATAGAAAAAAAAGATTTGCAGACCAGATCTTGTTTTTATAAAGAATTTTTTTTAAAGAACTTCATTTTATTTGAAAATAACAATATTAAAAACACATTGAATTAAACACCTGTTGTATTAATAATTATAATAATAATTAACTTACCGTATTTATCGGTATAGGCCTACGGCACTTTTCAAAACAAAGTGTTTCACAAGGGCGAACTATGTACAGTATGATTCAACATTAAAATCGATTAACAATCAAACAATATTATCAACATGTTTTTAACATTTTGAAATAACAGAAGAAATACAGGCAACGTTTTTAACTAAACTACCGCTAAACTAAAGCTTGCCAAACTTCTCCTCCGATGTCTCCTATTCCTCACACACACACACACACACACACACACACACACACACACACACACACACACACACACACACACACACACACACACACACACACACACACACTCTGCCACATCACTCCCCTGCCCCTCCAGAGCGCGTCATGTGTGTTGACATTTAAAGGGACAGGTGAACAATTAGAGCTGCGCTCTGAATACTAGACCCCGAATATAAGACGACCCGACTTTTTCGGACCTATTTCGATGGGGAAAAAGGCCGTCTTATATTCGGACCAATACGGTAAATGCTTTATAATGAAATCAACTGGTTGGGACAGCCTCACTACAGGAATACTAAAACATGTAACTGTATAGTTTATACAAAAACAACAGATACAGATGCAAATAGCCCAGAGAGAATATAATGCAGTAAGAGGTCACTAAAATACTAAAGGAAATGTAGCTCTTTGGATAGTGAACATCTCTTCTATGTAACAACAGCACTTTCAAAGTCAGTCACAAGAGCTCTAAAAGACCTTTGTTTTATTAACAGTATTTGTAGATCATGTGTGAATGTAGAAAAGTTTTTCTGTAAATGTATTGAATGTATGAACAACCCAAAAAAGGATTGAAAGATTACTTGGATCGTGTAAATTCCGAGTCCTCCTGAACGCATCCCGTGAGCGTCTGGTTTCGTCTCGTCCTCCTGTTTTGTCTCGGAGCAGAGGAAAGATGCTGGTATAAAGAAGCTGCACACATGGATGGATGGATATGAATAATTTGGACGTAAACTATGGATAGGCCTGTGTTTGGGTTTAAGGAGCACCACTATGCTTTTACTGGTGTTAACGTTGATGGTTCCCACAGTCACAAACGGTATGTTGGCTCAGTTCTAATGAGAAAGTACCTGTCACGGTGTTACCGTTTTCTAGATAACTTTATGGTAAATAGATAACTTATTAGGCCACTAACAGAAATGTATACAGAACTGAATTATTAAAAACCTCGAAAGAGTTGACTGTGTGTAAAACCTTTTCTTTAAAAAGAGATCTTGTAAAACATATTTCTGTTATCCTACTTATAATAAGTTTAACTTCATCCTTCAACCTTTCAGACGGCAAATTATAAATTCAGACACAAATGTTCCCTTTATAGCCTACTAATCCTCAAAATGTTTTTATTAGTAATTTTGATATGATTTAAAAGCTGGTATCTATTTTGGGGGGGAATTGTTAATGCAGACCTAAATAAACTAAAGGCCCACCATGAGGTTTGTAGGCTACTTTGTACCTTTCTCTTATGGACACAAAAGAAATGCATGTGTATTTTGTATTTTCTTTAATTATTTCAATCAATCAATCATTTTTTATTTGTATAAAATGTATAATGGGGGGTGGGGGTTGTTCTGGCAGGCCGCCAACCAACGATCTTGAGGAGCCTAAGAGAGCTCAAGAGCTCTCAGGAAAGTAGGTGGTTAGTGACTGAGATTTACAGGTAGATACATGCAGTAATATGATATACTGTATATGCACAGAGAGAGAGAGAGAGAGAGAGGATAGCTCAAGGTGCCAGTTCCCCCAGTAGTCTAAGCCTATAGCAGCAAAACTAAGAGCTGGTCTACACCAGCACCAGCCCTAACTATAAGATTTATCAAAAAGGAAAGTTTTAAGTCTATTCTTAAAAATACAGACTGTGTCTGGAAGGCGGTTCCAGAGGAGAGGAGCCCGATAACTGAAGGCTTTACCCCCCCATAGTACACTTAGAGACTGTAGGTACCACTAGCAGGCCTGCATTCTGGGACCGTAATGTTCTCGAGGGGCAGTAGTAGCTCCTTAAGATAAGATGGTGCCTGGCCATTTAGAGCTTTGTAAGTGAGAAGAAGGATCTTAAATTCTATTCTAGACTGTATAGGGAGCCAGTGCAGAGAAGCCAACACAGGAGTAATGTGGTCCCTTTTCCTAGTTCTGGTCAGTACACGAGCTGCAGCGTTCTGGACCAGTTGAAGAGTCTTTAGAGACTTACCAGAGCACCTTGACAAAAGAGAGTTACAATAATCCAGTCTGGAGGTAACAAATGCATGAACTAGTTTTTCTGCATCATTTTGCGACAGGATATTCCTGATCTTGGATATATTACGAAGGTGAAAATAGGCTGTTCTTGAAATTTGCCTGATGTGAGAGGTAAAGGACATATCTTGATCAAATAGAACTCCTAAATTCCTAACAGTGGTGCTAGAACAGTGGTGCAGGCTGATGTCATTAAGGACAGTCAAATCACTAGAAAAAGTCTCTCTGAGGTTCTTAGGGCCTAGCACAATAACTTCAGTCTTGTGTGAGTTAAGTAGCAAAACATTTCTGGTCATCCAGGTCCTAACGTCCTTAAGGCACGTTTCTAGCTGACATAACTGACTGGTGTCATCAGGCTTCATTGATACATAAAGCTGAGTATCATCTGCATAACAATGAAACTGTATGGAGTGTTTCCTCATAATATTTCCCAGAGGAAGCATATATAATGTAAAGAGAATTGGTCCAAGCACTGAACCTTGTGGCACTCCATGGCTAACTTTGGTGTGCATAGAGTACTTATCATTAACATGTACAAACTGAGATCGGCCTGATAAGTAGGATTCAAACCAACTTAAAGCAGTCCCTGTAATTCCAAGTAAATGTTCTAGTCTGTATAATAGGATCTGATGGTCAATGGTGTCAAAAGCAGCACTAAGATCTAACAAGACGAGCACAGAGAGAAGTCCCCTGTCTGAAGCTAGAAGTAGATCATTTGTAACTTTAACTAGTGCAGTCTCAGTGCTATGGGGACTCTAAATCCTGACTGAAACTCCTCAAATAAACTGTTGTCATGGAGAAAGTCACACAGCTGATTAGCTACCACCTTCTCCAGGATCTTTGAGATAAAAGGAAGGTTGGATATAGGCCTATAGTTAGCTAGAGTTCCTGAATCTAGAGTAGGTTTTTTGAGTAGAGGTTTGATTACCGCTACTTTAAATGACTGTGGTACATAGCCTGCCAGTAAAGACATATTGATCATATCTAATATAGAGTTGCTAACTAAGGGAAAGACTTCCTTAAACAGCTTGGTTGGATTGGGTCAAAAGACAGGTTGATGGTTTCGACGCAGAAATAATTGAATTTAGCTCTGAAAGGTCGATTGGAGAAAAACAGTCTAGACTAATATCTGGTCCTGGAACTGTCTCTGCCGTATCAGACGTATCGCACCAGGTAAGGGCAGGAGGTTACTAATTTTGTCTCTGATGTCTAGAATTTTGTTGTTGAAAAAGCTCAGGAAATCATTACTGCTGAGGGCTAAAGGAATACAAGGCTCAATGGAGCTATGACTCTCTGTCAGCCTGGCTACAGTGCTGAAAAGGTATCTAGGATTGCTTTTGTTTTCCTCGATTAGAGAGGAGTAGTAGGCAGCTCGAGCGTGATGTAGAGCCTTCATATATTTCTATGACTATCCTGCCAGAATAAACGAGATTCTACCGTTTTGGTCGAGCGCCATATTCTTTCAAAATTTTGCGACGATTGTTTTAGAGTACAGGTTTCTGAGTTGAACCATGGAGCTATTCTCTGCCGTTTGATAACCTTCTGTTTTAGGGGAGCAATCAATAAGAGTAACTCTCAGTGAATCCACTGCACTATCAACAAACTGATCTAGCTGAGAGGGACTAAAGCTATCATAAGAGTTTCCAACTGGGTTGAAACACGGTACTGAATCAAAAGCAGCTGAAATAGCTTCCTTAAATCTAGCTACAGCACTATCAGACAAACTTCTAGAGAGCACATTTTTATTAAGCAGAGATAATTCTGGTCGGACAAAGTCGAAAGTAATAAGGAAATGGTCTGATAGAAGAGGATTTTCTAGGAAAACTGTAAGGTTTGGATTTCAATGCCATAAGCT